CATTACCATTTTATTACAGGATTCTTTTACCTCGTTTGAGAAGCAGCCAATATTTAGAACTACATACGCGGTCTTTAGACGTTTGCATTCATTTTCGTGTGCTTTGTTTTATAAATGAAGACTACATATGAGGTGATAAAGATGTTATACTCCCGAATATTGTTGAGAATATCTTGGACAGAAAATGCTATGAATCCATTTATGATCCCAGATATCTTTCGCATTCATTGACAACTACCGTACTGAACAGACTGTTTTTATTTCGAGCCAGAGATTGCAATCTCCTCATAAACATCATAAACATCCAACAACGTGTTGAGGTCGCGTGTGACATGGAGCACCTTTGTCATCTTCTCCACATTTAATCAGTTTCCAGGCGTCCTTACGATATCTTGTGTCTGGATCCAGGCAGACAGGAAAGAATATTGACATTTAACGATAGGCACAAAACTCCTTGAGTATAATGGCGCTAAAACTCAAACCATGATTTGAGATGAAATTATAGTCTTCATCGACTACGAAAGCGGAACATGACAAAGATGAGATATGGGAATCAACATGGCGTCCAACCGAAGAATTCTTCGGTGATTTCGCCTAGAACTTTCGCGAACCCAATACCCAATACACACATTACTTCTCTTTCTTTAATAGAACTTGCGTTTCCAATTTTACACATCGAGGAACATTTATAATAAGCTATCAGTATTTGTCCTCACTTGAAATGTAAGGGTGATGGTAAAAGAAGAAAAAACTTGTTCTTGTTGAATAGTTCTTTCGATATTGACATCCGCAGAGATATGAGCATAAAAAAAAAAAAATGTATGCTAAACTATTTTTTTTAGTGATGTACGTTGCTTAGTGATTTTTTTTTTCTATTCGCAGCTTTTAAAAAATGCAGTTTTAAAATAAGTCATTCCCTTGGGAAAAAACGAAAGAACGCATAAACGAAAACATGATATGAAGCACGACAACAAGATAAGTCTGAACTTTGATAATAAAATTACCTATATAGACTTTGACAAAAATTTATATTATTTTTGGTATGTCTTTGCCTCGTGTTCTTGATACTTTTGAACCGAACTTTCTATACCGAATAAATTGGGGGAAGTTGTAATGAACTGTTCTTGGCGCTGAATGCTAAACTTAATCCTCTGAGACTTGAACACCGCATTACCGGTGGTAGAGAAAAATGACGTAATGCCCAGCCACTACAATGTGCAGGAAACTGTGGAGGGACATGATCGCTCACCTCTTGAAGGAACGTCACACTAAATAAGAGGTGGAATAAGGTTTAGAAGAGCTAAAAAAAGGACATAATTATTAACCCCTTGAGCCGCCCTGACAATCGCTTTACCGGTGGTAGAAAAAAATGACGTAATGCCCAGCCACTACAATGGGCAGGAAACTGTGGAGGGCCATGCTCGCTCACCTCTTGAAGGAACGTCACACTAAATAATAGGTGGAATAAGGTTTAGAAGAGCTAAAAAAGGACATAATTATTAACCCCTTGAGCCGCCCTGACAATCGCTTTACCGGTGGTAGAGAAAAATGACGTAATGCCCAGCAACTACAATGTGCAGGAAACTGTGGAGGGCCATGCTCGCTCACCTCTTGAAGGAACGTCACACTAAATAAGAGGTGGAATAAGGTTTAGAAGATCTAAAAAAAGGACATAATTATTAACCCCTTGAGCCGCCCTGACAATCGCTTTACCGGTGGTAGAGAAAAATGGCGTAATGCCCAGCCACTACAATGTGAAGGAAACTGTGGAGGGCCATGCTCGCTCACCTCTTGAAGGAACGTCACACTAAATAAGAGGTGGAATAAGGTTTAGAAGAGCTAAAAAAATGACATAATTATTAACCCCATGAGCCGCCCTGACAATCGCTTTACCGGAGGTAGAGAAAAATGACGTAATGCCCAGCCACTACAATGTGCAGGAAACTGTGGAGGGCCATGCTCGCTCACCTCTTGAAGGAACGTCACACTAAATAATAGGTGGAATAAGGTTTAGAAGAGCTAAAAAAAGGACATAATTATTAACCCCTTGAGCCGCCCTGACAATCGCTTTACCGGTGGTAGAAAAAAATGACGTAATGCCCAGCCACTACAATGTGCAGGAAACTGTGGAGGGCCATGAACGCTCACCTCTTGAGGGAACGTCACACTAAATAAGAGGTGGAATAAGGTTTAGAAGAGCTAAAAAAAGAACATAATTATTAACCCCTTGAGCCGCCCTGACAATCGCTTTACCGGTGGTAGAGAAAAATGACGTAATGCCCAGCCACTACAATGTGCAGGAAACTGTGGAGGGCCATGATCGCTCACCTCTTGACGGAACGTCACACTAAATAAGAGGTGGAATAAGGTTTAGAAGAGCTAAAAAAAGGACATAATTATTAACCCCTTGAGCCGCACTGACAATCGCTTTACCGGTGGTAGAGAAAAATGACGTAATGCCCAGCCACTACAATGTGCAGGAAACTGTGGAGGGCCATGATCGCTCACCTCTTGAAGGAACGTCACTAAATAATAGGTGGAATAAGGTTTAGAAGAGCTAAAAAAAGGACATAAATAATGAGGCCCTGGACAATCGCTTTAAGGTTTGACGTAAGCCCAGCCACTACAAAAAAGGACATGAACGCTCATTGACGGAACGTCACACTAAATAAGAGGTGGAATAAGGTTTAGAAAAGCTAAAAAGCATAATTATTAACCTTGAGCCGCCCTGACAATCGCTTTACCGGTGGTAGAAAAAATGACGTAATGCCCAGCCACTACAATGTGCAGGAAACTGTGGAGGGACATGATCGCTCACCTCTTGAAGGAACGTCACACTAAATAAGAGGTGGAATAAGGTTTAAAAGAGCTAACCAAAGGACATAATTATTAACACTTTAAGCCCTGACCGTCGCTTTACCGGTGGTAGAGGAAAATGATCTAATGCCCAGCCACTGGTTGAACAGTGATAGAGAAAAATGATTTCATGTCCAGCCACTGGTTGAATGGTGGGAAAACACTTGTAACTATTTTTATATCTACTTTGAAATTTTACATACCAATTATTTGCGAATTTTGACTCAGGAGCTCAGGCAGAAGGGTTTTGCCCAGGAACGCAGGGCTCAAAGTGTTAAGAACTACAATGTGCAGGAAACTGTTGAGGGCCATGATCAACAAATCACATAACATAAGAGGAAGAATAAAGTTTAGGAGAGATAACAAAAGGACATAATCATTAACTCTTTGATCCCTGACTACCGCTTTAACGGTGCTAGAGAAAAATAGCATAATGCCCGGTTACCTCTTGACAGTGGTAAAGAAAAATGACTTAATGTCCAGCCACCGGCTGAATGGTGGGTAAACACTTGCAACTATTTTTGCGAATTTTGACTCAGGAGCTCAGACAGAAGGGTTAAAATTGCACAGGAACGCAGGACACAAATGTTTAAACAGATGAGCTGAAAAGTTTATCATCAGAGACAGAGATAAAGTGTAATGTCTGATAATTGCAGAAAATAATGAAATATGGAAGGTTCCGAAAATACAGGAAGGCTGGAGAACGTATCATCTTAAATGGTGAATTAAAATAACAAATAGAGGGACACACCTATTCTATAGTTAATAGACTCTCCCACCTATAATAAGTAGGAGTAGTAATAGTAACGAGCAGTCGCTCAGTGGGTCGGTCTGAGTTCAGTCTGAAGTCGGACGACCGGCTGACCGGTTGAACTCTCTGTCTTCGAGCGGGGAAGAACCCGAAGGGCGGAGTCTCTTTCGGGGAGGTAAACCGACCGTGAACCCGTTTATACGGGTTTTAAAAGGGCATATTTTGGGCCGAGCCCACCCGCACGAAGATCCCACGTTAAACCGGCCTTGTGCCACATGATGCCCTCGTGGGTGGGTGACTGAATATCGCTCAGTGGGTCGGTCAGTCAGTCGATACCGGACGGCCGTTAGTCGGATACTAAAGTATCAGCGACCACAACTAGGTTTCTTTCTGTCATACCTATTATATCAAGTTCCTAACGTTTTGGTACGTCGAACCTATTTTAGGCCCGACTTTGTACAAATACAAGCCTCCACTGTGAAATCACTCCATAACAGATGTCAACATTCGTCGATGTATATTATTAAAATATTTCATCACTGAACTTTGGAAGATATTTGTTTTTATACTGTATGAAGTACTGAAAAGTCATCATCTCTGAATTTTAGACAGTATTTCCGAAGATATCAGTCCGTATACTGTACGGAATGTTAAAACAATTTAGCCTCTAAAGTTTAAAAATTAATGACGAAACTAGTTCATGTAAAGTGCGGAATATTAAAAATTTTTTTTTTTGTTTTTCTAGAGTTAGTCGTGGTTTAGTTGGTTTGTTTGTTTAACAGTATATCACTTGTTTATAGGTACTTCTAGTGGTCGATCTGTTGTAATTAACAAAGTTGTAATCTGAAATTATTATACAAAACCAGAAATCACTTTTTACTTCAGTAGCAAGCTACTACAATCAACTACAATTTATCAACACTTATAACAATATAAATAAGTGATGTAATGGAATAACCAGGCACCCCCATGAATGATTACACCGTAGGTACTCACTACCTATAGTGTAATCATTGAAGTGTAAAGTTTAGAAATTAATGACGAAAATAGTTCATGTAAGGTGCGGAATATTAAAAAGCTTTCCTCTCTGAAATTGAAACATGATTTATGATGATAACAATTCGTACGAGTGGGGGCATAATTGATTGCCTGATTTCTTTTTTACGGTTTATCAAACCTTTGGAGATTATTTGAAATATTTTAACAATATTTTTGAGATAATAATCTTTTACTAATACAATCCTACTAATTAACCCATAGCTGGGAGGGGGAATAGGTGAAGTTATACATTTCTCACATAAGTGAATATAACGAACCCAGATATGAATTGGAACTCGGATCTTCGAATTCAAAATCCGATCCGTTATCCATTACACCACCCGCACATACAAGCTCACAGCACCTGGTATTTTCAAGCGGTCACCCGTCTAAATACTGACCAGGCTCAACGTAACTTAACTTTAGTGATCGTACGTGAACCAGTATTACAACGACAATGTGGAGGGTATGGGAAATGTTTCACAAGTGAAATTTACAGAATTTTTGTGAAGATATTTAATCGTATAATGTGCGGGAAAGTGACGAGCCTTCGTCGCAGAAATTTATTAAATCGCTGCGCTCTTCTCATCAGTCCATTCCCCCGTTCTAACATAGAAAAGAAAACATTTCCGCCGTAATATTCAAACTGACAACGAAATAAACTGTCAGATGATTAATCAAATTCTTTTCTCGGGGAAATCAGATTTTCCTCTTTTGACAGCAAAATACAAACCTGACTGAAAAACGTCAACACAAAATACAGCGGATGCTTCGTTGACTGTTTTCTTACTTATTGAATCCCATTAGTGACCTATCGAGAGAAAAAGATTGCGATCCGATATGACCAGCATGGACGCGCATTTTTTGCACATTTTTAAATCATTTCACCACGAGGAAGGTAATAAAGCCACAAAGGCGCATGGTGGCACTGAGTGGGAAAGAATATAAGAGAAACATTACCAAGGAGAGAGAACATGAGTTAATTACGAATACAGAAATTGATGGCTGATATAGACTTTAAATTATCTATCTATGCAACAGTCTGTTCATTATCTATCTATCTATCTATCTATCCCAAAAAATTCTTCATGATCTATTTACTTATCTACATTTTATGTGCCATCATATTAGGAGTGCGAATGATTTTCATTCAACTTTCCAAAGACTGACCTGAGTGAAAAATGTAGGTGGCATGAAAATTTCAATGATTTAGTTATACCTGATTAATTAAACAGATATATATATATATATATATATATATATATATATATATATAGAGAGAGAGAGAGAGAGAGAGAGAGAGAGAGAGTCGGAAAAATATATATGAATGGTGATAGATAGATAGATAGATAGATAGATAGATAGATAGAAACTGATTTTTACATACGAACAGGCAGATATATAGACGCAAATTCGATGAGACAGACTGTGTCATTCAAGAACTGAAGGTTGACAACAAATGAGGTCAATCATCTATTTGCACTCACGTAAGATAGATAGAAACATACTTAGATAGGTAGATAGATAGATAGATAGATAGATAGATAGATAGATAGATAGATGTGCCTGCACTGTCCCAACAAGATACGAATAGTGATAAATAAATACGAACAGACTGAGACAGAGAGACAAACAGATAGATAGATAGATAGATAGATAGATAGATAGATAGATAGATAGATAGATATGATCACACAGATCGATAAACTTGTAATCATATATCCTATTCCAAGCGCTCGTCTCTTATGTTCCATCCCTTAAGCAATTTCCGTTGTCCAAGACGACAACTAAACAAAACACAAATCTATAATCATGTTATTGTAACTCTGTTTAATCTAAACTATCAGTTTGTTTTATATTTATTTTTTTATAGCCAGTGAAAGGAACACTTCTAAGATTCCATAAAATTTAATACCAGTGATTGGTCAATGGGACTTAAGTGTGTATATTTATTTACTAAACTACTTTACACGTACCGTGGGAAAATGGGGATATAATCAAGTCTTCCTCTAATTGTAATGTACTAACAAAACATCGAAACTTTTTTCCTTGCCTTTTTTCTGAATTTTAAATGAAGAAAAGATAATTTTCTTGTTCTTTGAGCAATTATGGAGTATTTTTTTTTCATATCTAAAATAAAAGTATGTTTTTACTACGTCACCAGAATAGTCCGCTATATAGAGACATGTGATTCACCCAGAATAGTCTACCTAAAGATAGGTGATTCACCCAGAGTAGTCAACTACATAGAGATAGGTGATTCACCCATAATAGTCCACTACCTAAAGATAGGTGATTCACCCAGAATAGTCCACTACCTAAAGATAGGTGATTCACCCAGAATAGTCCACTACCTAAAGATAGGTGATTCACCCAGAATAGTCCACTACCTAAAGATAGGTGATTCACCCAGAATAGTCCACTACCTAAAGATAGGTGATTCACCCAGAATATTCCATTCCCTAAAGATAGGTGATTCACCCAGAATAGTCCACTACCTAAAAAGAGGTGATTCTCCCAGAATGAGTGATTCACTCAGAATAATCAACTATATAGAGACGGATGATCCACCCATCCCTTTGTAATTTACTCGTCGACTGCAACTATATTGATTGGAGATGTTTTCAGATCTTTTCCCCAAGACCATTGCTAAACAAAGAAAACGACAACAGCATTATCTCGACGTACACATATTGCGAACAGCCCGATATCTGACGATATCTTTAACTAGCTCTTCATTTGTGCTTACAGTCGATAATTACCCATAACTGAAGTTTGTACCACAATATCTGATGAACGCTACCCATACATAAGGACAAGAGCGTAATTTTTTAAACGTTTTCGCTAACACGCACACGCGTGCGTCGATTTCCGTCCACCCTCTACATAAATGCAACAAGAGAGGTGCCTCCTCATATCAATAACAGGAAGAGATCATATACTGATTCCAGGCGACATTTACTCACGTCCCCCGACAGCAAGTTGTGACACGGGGTTATTTTTTTAATGCGGGATGCCCATAAGCCTATATATGCGCAAGTACCCGCAACCACTGTCATGCTGACATTTGTATCCACCCTCCATCCCATTTTTTGGCATAGAGAGAGGTGCTATCCCTGCGTTGCAATCACCACTTCAGTATTTAAAGAGGTAGTTAGGAAAGTGTTATGGTCCAAGGTTAGGACCAGGGAAGAACAACACAAACACAAGAGTAGAAATAACGAAGGTATATTACACGAAATAATAATACAAGATGTGGAAGGTGTTAGTATGACTGTCAGTCTGCTTTGGAGTGAATTACTATCGGCTCGACTCGATTCGACCCTCTCTCTTGAGAGGCGTAGTATACATAGTGTTAGGAAGAGTTCATTCTGTAGTTATAGGTAAGGACCCATGACACTATCTATCTATCTATCTATCTATCTAAGTCTGTTCTTTCTATCTATCTATCTATCTATCTATCTATCTATCTGTTATGGTCCAGGTTAGGACCAAGGAAGAACAACACGAACACAAGAGTAGAAATAACGAAGGTATATTACACGAAATAATAATACAAGATGTGGAAGGTGTTAGTATGACTGTCAGTCTGGTTTGGAGTGAACTACTATCGGCTCGACTCGATTCGTTCCTCTCTCTTGAGAACGTAGTATACATAGTGTTAGGAAGAGTTCATTCTGTAGTTATAGGTAAGGACCCATGACACTATCTATCTATCTATCTATCTATCTATCTATCTATCTATCTGTTATGGTCCAAATTAGGACCAAGGAAGAACAACACGAACACAAAAGTAGAAATAACGAAGGTATATTACACGAAATAATAATACAAGATGTGGAAGGTGTTAGTATGACTGTCAGTCTGGTTTGGAGTGAACTACTATCGGCTCGACTCGATTCGACCCTCTTTCTTAAGAGGCGTAATATACATAGCGTTAGGAAGAGTTCATTCTGTAGTTATAGGTAAGGACCCATGAGAGAAAGATACTACACTTTGACTCCAGCCTGAATGTCGGGGAAAATGCGATCAGCATTAAACCAGTATTTAGCGCATGCTCCATTTAAAGAGGCCATTTGAAAACATATGGACAAAGGACATAATTTGAAGTCTCTGCAACTACTGTTTGGCTGGAGTTTGTATTCATAAACTTTCCGTCTTTAGTTAAATGAGTGAGTGATTAGGTATCCCTTAATAAAAAAAAAATGTGAAGTGCCAATAGCAAAAATACGACAGAGGCAAGGAGCAAAAAACTCCACACTTTGATCCCGACTTCAAAGGCCGAGTGAAGGCTATAGGATATGACACATGTTGGTTTAATGTGTAATATCGTAAATACAAGCAAAGTAAAAATAGAAATAGTCTAATGTGGAAATACCTTTTTAAAGTAGAAATAGTCTAATATGGAATACCGTAAAAACAAGCTAAGTAGAAATAGAACGGCGTAGGGTTAGAGACCATGGGACTAGGCTTAAAGAGAAAGCGCGAACAGGTACTACACTTTGATCCCGACATCGAAGACCGAGACAAGGCGATAGGATATGACACATGATGATTTAATGTGGAATACCGTAAATACAGTCCGAGTAGAAATCGAACGGCATAGGGTTAGAGACCCGGGGACTAGGCTGAAAGAGAAAGCGCGAACAGGTACTACACGTTGATATCAATCCGAATACCTGGTAAGGTTATTTGATCGCTGTTCCACGGCGAAAAGAGATAACACCAAGTTGTTTTTAACGTCGGATAGCCATTGGCCAGTCCAAAAATTGCCCGATAACCACCATCCCACAGATGTCAATATTTCACCAACCTTCTCTCTTTTAGTGCAAGAAAGAGATTTAAGCTAAGGATTCATTGCTCGAAGCTCTTTTTATGAATTGCCTGTAAACAGAAACACGTCAAGAGAACTGAAGTACAGATACTTTGCTTTGATCCCACACCGATACCCGGGTAAAGGAGGTCAATATTGCTGTTGATTATGTAAATCTTATACCAGAAAGAGTAAAACGCATTCTTATTCTTCCAGATTTGATATGCTATACTAGATAATTTCTCCTTATTTTATTTTATTTAGCCTTTTTTCAATCATTCTTAATTTTACGAAATCAAGTTAACAAATTAATTGATAGTTATTAAACAATTATTATTCTAATAATTGAATAATTAGCTTTAATATTTGTAGAATAGTTTAATTTTAAAATTTAAGTTTGAAACTGAATTCGCATTCGTCGTTGCATTGAATACTGCTGCCATATACGGTCAGGTGCAATATGATAGGTCCTAATCTGGCACGTCTTTCTCACAGACCTACTGTGGATTCCCTGTCTTTTCTACAAGTATTTTCATGGCAACTGCTCTGACGAGCTACTTCCACTGCTTCCCAAACTGCATGAATCTAAGCGTGCTACTAGGTTGGTATCTCGGCCCCACCCTTTATCCTGTCGTCTCTTCTACTCCCA